CCCCCCTTTGGCCAATTGATGTAATATTGCTTCATTGGCATCCTCCCATGACCCTCTACCACTGTGCCAAAGTTCACATGGATTGACCAAGTTAGTGAGGAGAAAAACGTGGAACAGACACACAGACAGAGTTTTCGTCATTATATAGTAAGACACCATCCATCTTTACTGGCGTCTGTAATGAAATTCAACTTTAGACCAAGTCTCTTAAATGAATTACCTGCAGATGTGCAGAAGACCTCTATAGATTAGGTACAGTAGGTAGGTAATTGCTTTTCCAGCCTTATTATATCTTTTAATCTTCTATTTTGTGCCTTTTTTGTTTGTTACTTGTCTTTGTGTTTTGTATCTCTGGTGTTCTGTTCACTGCATCCTGGAAGATCATAAGTATTTGACATTTGCCTTGTTGTGTTTGTACATTACCTGTCCGAATGGTTGAATAAAAAAGTTTTTAAAACATTATGACAGGCCCTAGTGCACGCTATCCTGCACATATCCTCTCATCACATGATCAGAAACTTGACACTGGATGACATCAACGTACATATTACTCAACAATCACAGCTGCATAACTGCATATAAGGAAAAAAAACAATATAGAAAATAAGAAATTATTCATTTAATTTAACAATTTTAATAGCTGATTTATTGTTACAGAATATTTGATTTATAGAATAGGTGATTTACATTCACAGAATAAACATATAATTTTGTGATAGATGCGACTGACTATTTTACAGAAAAGAAAGAATAAACATAACAGAGATGGGTTTGCTTTTTTCAAGGGCATATACTGTATAGCATATGGCGCTGTTTTTAATTTAGTGATTGTTCCTCTTTGAACACAGGCATATTTTCAAGGTGGCAATCACTCATTAGGGCCCATTCTCCACCCACGCATTGATGGAGGGCCCACTTCCTCAGTGGCATGGATGCCTGCAATAATTATGTTCATTCTGAATATAAGCAATGGTACCCACATTTTAATTTGAACCAAAATATTATCATTATTTATTAGAACATTTTACAACTTCTCCCATTTGGAGAAAAAAAGAGAGATGCAGGTTGTCGGCCACATGACCTGGCATGATTTTGATATGACTAAAGCAGATTTCAGGAGGACCCATTCACTGGACACCAGCCATTTCTGTGGGCCAGTCTGTGAGTAGGCAAGATGATATTTGAAGTACACTTTGCTGATAATACTCAGCAGATTTGGCTGAAGGACTTTTACTGGTAATGGAATATGTTAACATTGTGGTACTGCTACTTCTACTCAAGTAAAGGATTTGAATACTTCATCCATCACTGACAATGACCATGTCAGTTTATTTGCACTGCAGCCTATAATGTGCATCACTATTCTATTCTCGGGTGTTACAAACAGTAATTTGTGCTGCTGTGGTATTTGTTCATTACAGTTTTCTTCCCATTAATGCCTGAAAAGAAAAGCCACGTTCACTGATGATAAATTATGAAACCACATCTCAAAGCAAATGTGATTTCAAGTAGTTCTGATTATTCAAACTCATGTTTGTGTGCAAAAGACAGCTGACATCAGGAGGAAGCAAACAGCTGTGCAGTACAAAGCCACAGTGAGTGTGTGTGCATGTTACAGTTATTGGGAAGCGTTGAGAGCAGCCAGTGTGTCTTTTACTGACATGACGCTTCTCATAAACGATAATGACTTCTGGAGAGGAAATCCCCTCCTTTCCTGCTGCCTTCAGGTGCTGTTGGAAATATTCTAATCATAATTAAAAGCCAAGTTCACATGAAAAACTCAGGTGAGTCGCAGAGTAACTGTACATTTTTTTCCATTCTGAAGATAATGTTTAGTTTAGGATACCACCAGCAAACCACATATTTAGTTTTGATGTTAATGCTTTGCAGCTCAGATCACATTCGGTGTGTGGAGGCTTCTCAGGACAGTCTTTTCCCGGTCTTTTCCTCAAGTAAAGCAGGTAATAAGTTGTATTTTTAAGCAGCAGCCACAACAGCTTGACATTTACGACTTCAGAACTTGTATAAAGGAGCTTATGAGGAGAACCTGAAGGCAACATGCATTTGAGAAGAGGAGGAGGAGCTGAGCCAGAGGTTGACATGTGGGAATGACTCAAGTTTTTTACACATTCCAAGCATTGTTTCCTCCTCCTCCCTGCCTCAGTCCCAGGCACCGAGGCCAAGGATTTTCCAGGGCCGGGGGAGATGGAGAGGATGATGGATCAAGGAAGAGGAAGGATGACTCGCATTTTCCGCTTTTTCCTTTTTGAGAGTGATTCTCTCATTCTCCAGCTGAATAAATAGGACTTAGAGGGGTATTGTTGTACACTTTTCAGATGTCTCTCTGCATCCCTCACCTGCAGGAGAGTGCCATGCTTGTCTTTATGATTTAACAAGGGAGCAGGAGATGAAGATAGAGGAGACAGTGAAACTGGCCCCTTGGAAATTGCTCACTTTATGAAGTCTACTCTTGCATTATATGCCGGTGTAGTTAATCCAAAAAGCCCTTCCCTTAGTGTTTAAGGGTATTAAGATAGCAGGGATAAAAGTTGTTATAAAGTCAAGGTAAAGTCAAAGGAACTTGCTTGAGAAATATTAATACACAGTTTTGATCAGATACTATTTTGACAAGATGACAAATCATCACTGTTGTTTTTTTCTGACACATCACAGAAAATTTGTACATGAAGAGAAGATTTTAATAAAAGTGCCTGAGTAACTTGACTTTTGTTGTGACAAGATCACTTTCAATGCCTTCACATCCATTTTCATCCACTTATCTGGGGCGGGGTTCTGTTCTGGGTCTGCCCTGGGGCCTCCTACCAGTGGGATGTGCCCGAAACACCTCCAGCAGGAGGCGCCCAGGAGGATCCTGATCAGATGCCCGAACCACCTCAACTGACCCCTTTCAATGCCAAGGAGCAGCGACTCTACTCCAAGCTCCCTCCAGATGTCCGAGCTCCTTACCCTATCTCTAAGGCTGAGCCCAAGCACCCTTCAGAGGAAACTAATTTCGGCCACTTGTATCCACGATCTCATTCTTTCAGTCATTACCCAGAGCTCATGACCATAGGTGAGGGTTGGGACGTAGATGGACCAGTAAGCATCTATTGTGAAAGGCTTCCACTCTCATCATGACTGAGATTTGACATTGCTGCTATACAAGAGCATCTTTATTAAAGGCTGTATTGCTTATATCTCCAGATGGACTGGAGTTGGGAGAAGGCAACCCGAGCCTTGGATTGACGTCTCTTTGGGTCTCGCTGTCCTTACTGATGAGGCTGCCCAGGTAGGTGAAGTCTTCCACAAACTCAAGTGGTTCCCCATTCACAAGGATGGGGATTTTGTTTTGGAGGTGTTGATGTTGAGTCCAACCTGTCTGGCAAAGTTGTTGAGCCTGTCAGTGTTAGTCTGCATGTACA